TCTCTCTCTCTCTCTCTCTCGCTAGGAAAGCAGCAAAGCTCCGGCAAAGGCACATTCCGGACGGGATCGAAAGGTGATGAACAATCCTGGTGGCGCACCTTTGTCTCGAAACTGTGCAGGTCCGTTTTTTGGATGGGTGGGGGCATCTTTGCTGGAACGGGCGTGCTGTCCCGGGCACATGCTGAGGGATCTGTGTCTTTGCTTCATGCTCCAATTTCGAATGGTCGGGCTAGCTTGCTCGGGGCTGAGAGATTGCAACTCAGAGCCAATGTTTCTTGGTCAACAAAGAGCCCAGGAAGAAGCTAAGGATTTGGGAAACCAATCTCTGACTGTCGGGTAGGCTCAGCAACGCGTGACCCCTAGCTTTGAGAATTCGTTTATACTACTTTGTCGAACATGTTGCTGGCTCCAGAAGAGCCTCACAAAGTTTACGATGTACAACGCTCTCTGTGCTAATTCACCTGGGTCGTTACATGAGAATCAGCCAACATCGATATCCGGGGCCTCCCTACCCCATAAACAGTAGGCCATATGCTTCGAGCCCTTCCAGGTGCTCAACCATAGACACCCTATGCTGAGATCTTTGAACACTGTACCCTATACAACACTCTAAAACCCGAGCCAAAAGAGCAGGATAGAACCTGGCCCGCCGGAAGGAATTTCATCACCGGAGAGCTCAATAAACCGATAGCCAGCGGAAATTGAATCCACATCTGGTTATCCTGTGAAAGAAAAAGGGGTGTAAGGTATGGTATGACATACCATAGAAAACAATCTACGGGAACATGGTTCACCCTGATGAGACGAATCTGAACCTGATTCCTGAACACTCCGATGATCCAAGCTTCCACGATGTGCCGCAAGCGCACGCTTTCGGCTTCCTGGCTCGGAATGCTGAGATGCCCAGGGACGCATTCACGAGGAATCTACACAAGCTCCATAATTAATTCGAACTGCTCAATTGATATGCGTGCATCACAATGAACTATGATTTCTCTCCGTCGCAGTGACACTGCGCCCAAACCAAAGAAGCCCTAGAGTAAACACGTGGGTCGGTCTAGCTGACACTTACATCGTTGAACCCGAAGAAGCCCTAACTCCTCATCAGTCCACATATGGGTGGTTGTCAAAATTACGGTCCCTGTTTAGGTCCTTATTATAATATGTCACCTATTATTTCGGATACCCCAAAAAGGACCATAATTTTGACAACTACCCACATATTCTAGAAGACACAAGGGCTGCCGGACTGTCCTTCTTGGCTCTCTTGGCTGCTGGCTCCATGACAGCGCGGTCGTCCTTGGGGACGAAGTAGACAACGATGGTCGTGCACTGCCTAACAGGACTTCAAGAAAAACCCAGCTGCTTTGACTGCGACGAATTGTCTGCGAAACCTAGTATACATCCCCACTCCACAACCTCCGGCATGACAAGGGAGTTCAAAGCCAGCGTCAGGGACCCCCATTGAACATGTACAATGAAAACTGCGAATCAAGATTGTCGTGATGGTCGTATACAAGTCGTCAAAAGAGTCAGATACACATGGACATGGAGAAGAAGCTGATGATGATGGGAATGATAATGATGATGTTCCGGTCCACTTGAGAGCCCACCCGCAAGCACTGTGTGCACGTCAGTCCCAACCCGCTTATAGAATCTGCACAACCTGGTCACCGCAGGCAGTCGTCCAAGTGGCGCATTCGCATTCTGGGGTGCCAGGGCAGCGCGGTGAGCAATGTCGCCGCTGGCCGCCTCATGCTTAGTCTTGTGTTCACATGTAGGCTGGATAGGAATAGTGTGTAGATCTGTTGCCAAGGAAAAGCCTCCTAGGCTTTTATGAACGAGAGAACCAGCGGGCGCTGCAGGGTAGCATTCAAAATCCCGGCCCTAGTCGTCAAACTCTCTTCGGAGGTACTGAGGCAACTCCTCAACCTTTCGCCAAGCAGTGCATGAGTGAGTGAAAAGGCGAAAGCGAGTCACCTGCAGGAAGCTGAGCCTCGCTTCGGACACCACCAAAAGAGTCTGTGCATTGTTGATAATGATGCTGAGGAAGAAGCTGCTGTGAAGGTTCATGCTATACTTGGAATGAGACTTTCCGGTCTTTGCACACTTTGGTTTTCGTCCTCGTGTTGGAGCCCAGGCGTACTCAATCGAAATCCCATTGGATTTCAAGTTTGAACTCGGAGGGTGTCCAGAACCAAGTTCTGGTGTGACATTTTCAATCCCCGGAGATGCCGTGGCCGCTGAGGCAGGAACATCTCAACATGTAGCTTCCACCATCACATATGCTCTTACCAAAACCATGGGGTCGCAGCAGCGCATGCTCCAGTGGCCGCCAGAAAGGACATTTGGCATGCGTTTGCCTGTCTTCTCTGTCTCTCTCTCTGCAATTACTAAACGTGTACCCATTGCTTCGTGTGGTCGCTCCTGGGTTCTGAACATACGAAACCGTGAGATATGGCTTGCATACGCAAATCCTTGTTCTATACACTGAAGCCGAAGCTCTACAAACTCTGCAACTTAAGCTCAATCCGTCATGCAACGGAAGGAAGGGAGTGCAGGGATCGGCAGACTGAGAGGAAAGGTCCAGGCCTCAAAGCTTAAGCACCAAAACTAGCCTGGAACATTTCTCAATGTCGAAGCGCTCGCGGCTTGTACTCAAAGTCGGAAATCGTCAGGGCAACCTGCTCGGAATTTGGGTCTTGAGTTTTGGATGCCGGGTGGGGGCCACTGGGGGCTCTTGAGGAGGCATGTCTTTTTGTGGTATGCCGCCGGGGCCCAGCCTGAACAAACCGATAAAACCAGGGTTTGAGCAGCTGACAGTGTCGGGAGGGTTCAAATGCTTTGTGCAAGGCAAGTGTTTCGTTTACCCATGAGACCACATGAAACTTGAAACCCTGCGTCGCGTGCTTTTTCGGACATCCGCTCCGGAAATCAACTTGGGAGAATAGAAAATTCGATGACCTCCCGTTGGGTGTTTCGGAGATGTAGAACAAACCGACGTGTCCTCAAGGACTGTTTGTTCCCGGGATAAAATAGCCGGATGGTTGTCGGTTTGGTCAGCCAGGCTTCTGTTGTTGGTGGGAGTGTCTGGGAGGCATATACCGCGGAGGACATCTGCATGGCACTTCGCGGCCCTCGAGAAAATCCACATGGCTCTCCAACCAGCAAGTTGCTCAGCATCGGTCGGGCGATGGAAGAGAAAAGCTAGCGTTGATTGGTATATGAGACAAGATAGCGGAAAAGCGGTGGGGGAACTGCCGTCGACCGTCAAGGAACACAACTGCACAATTCTACATGGATCAGGGTACGCCTCCTCCCCAAGTGCCTCGATCCCCTGCCCGTAACGCAAACGCTCCAACAGCCATCGATACTTCAATTATAGCAGCAATGCTCATCATCGAGATTGCCCTCAGGGTGATCGTCACACTAAGAAGCATAAACAAACTCCGCAAAACCATTGTTCGAACGAGTGTAGACTTGCCGTAGTCAGTCTTAGATACAATTAAAGCTGCTCTCCGGTGGCATGAACATGGCCAACGACTCTTGAGCATCTGTTTGGACGGAAGTATCTTCAACTTCCGGAGTTTTCTGGCATCTGATTCGGCTTGGCAGTTTCAGGGCTTTTTGGCTGCGAGTTTGCAGAGTCCAACATATAGCCTGTCTGCTATGGATTTATGTTGCAGGAGCTGGACTCCGTGTCTCGAACCCGCGGCCTGCGCAGTTGGTATGGCGACTGGGACGGGCGTGGAGCTAAGGACCAAGGCGATGTGCCGATCGGCCCAAGAGACATCCTTGATTTGGCGGAATCTAGGGAATCCGACGGTGTGGGATCTTGCAAAGGGAAAGATACTTTGGGTTGGTGTAGGATGTAGATATTATGGCATGCTCTGGCAGGGAGATGTGCGTCGAGTTCAAGGTGCACGTGGGACTGTACCTTGGACCCCGAAGGTCGACAGGCAAACCAAGAAGCCCGCAAATCCCGAACCTCAAATCCAGAGACAGACCATTTGAGAGGGCTGTCGGGGTGTTTGCAGCAAACCAAGCTAGGATCCAATATGTACTTAGCCCTTCTTATAAAGCTGCAGGGACATACCCTGGGGAACCTCAGCCATACAGAAAGCCTAGGCCCAGGCCCACTGTCGCTATTGTACCCTAATGATTACACACAAAAGCTGCTAATACACCCACAAGTGTTCGATGTCTTGCTTAACACTCAAGGCACAGCACATGCACATGCGTGCCTTTGCAACTGCAACAAAATCGAACACCCATGCACTGTGTTGCATGGAGTACAGTCCATCCTGTCATGTGCGCTGGCATCCTATCAGCCAAAGGCATTCCGGGACTCTGTGTGTCTGGTCTCAGGGACGCTTCTCAGGAGCTTCAAGCTACCAGGCATTCCTGACAGCTCCAGTTCTTCTGCAGGGAAGGTTTACGCAAGGCTGTTGCAGGCTTCGCTCGCGCATGAGTTTTGGAAGACCTCCATGAAGCCTACACGAGTGGTTGCAAGCTTCAAGCATCTTGCAGATGGTCTTGGTTATCTGCCTGCTTACAAAGTTGCACTGCGTGGAAGAAGCTGTTACGTGTTGTTGGTAGTCACCCTTAGCAGCAAAGTTAAAACTTTCGAACTACCCGTACAAGGAGTCACACCTTCTTGAGGAAGTGTAAACTGTACTACGTCAAATATTTCACACTGAATGGCCTCGGGGGGATTCGTAGTGGACCCTCATATGATTGTAGGACGGGAGCCTCGATGTTCGGTAAAGTTCTTCCATCATGACGCATGTCTGGACACAAAAATGATATGTCAGGTGCCCGCATGTCACAAGGTATTTGGTCCCCGGTCGTACTTGCAGGAGCAAGGCTTGGCTGACACCGAACATGACTCCGAAACGGGCAAGTTGTGAACCGTATTTCAAGCCCAAGCATTTCCAGCTACCCGGCAACTTGCAACCATCACGAAAGCCTGACAAACTAGAGGGACCAACTCACACCAAGCGCCCTGCGCTCTCAAGCCCAAAGAAGGAGCAGCTGGCCTCCCATGGATCCTTTCCATGCCCGATCTCCTATGGACCTGCAGGCCGGCCACAAGCCCAGGGTCGATGGCCGTTGGCAAACCCTGTAGGACGGCTACCCCGCCCCCCCCCCCCTCCGGTGTGGTTCCGGAGAATGCTTCCTCCAGCCCTGTGGTTTGGGTCTGCTGGGGTGTTGCATCATCATCATCATCATCATCACCAGAATCACCAACACCATTCTCATCCTCATCATATCTCATCATCCTCAGCCTCGTGCTCCTTCTTTGGTCGGGTGTGCCTGGTGAAGTAACGCTTTCACGAATTTCGTGGCAGTCGCTTCGGGGGCATGTCCGAAAGATTCTTGTGAAAGGCTTGCTGGAGCGACGTATTGGCCACATGGTGGCAAGTTGGCTATTCTGGGACCCTCGTGTCCGAGTCGGAAATGGAAAAATGTCCATCGCCGCAGAGATCGGGCGTGTTGGGAACGTGGTTCGGGAGCATTCATGGGCAGATATATTCAATTATATATACATTTAAAATATATATGACTATATAATTTCTAACTATATTATATGTATACATATATATATATATGTATATATATATATATATCTCTCTCTCTCTCTCTCTCTCTCTGCCCCTGTTTGTGTATTTGCCTGTAACAGTATCTATGTGTGTGTATGTATGCAGGTATGTAAATAAGTGCTTGTGTGTGTGTTTGTGCGTGCGATTGTGTGCGTATGCATATGCGTATGCGTACGGGTATGCGTGCGTGCGTGCATGCGTGCGCGCGTGCGTGCGTGCTAAAAGTGTGTGTGTGTGTGTGTGTGGGGTGGGTGGGTGTATGCCTGTATTCATGCGTACATACGTGCATAACCATACATACATAATCGTCCACGAACACGTACGTCGGCATAATTAAATAAGTTAATATGTAAACATATGTATGTATGTATGCATGCATATATATATATATACACACATACAATCTATATATGTTTTTATATCTATATATACACATGTGTATATATATATACATACATATGTGTGTGTGTGTCTGTGTGTATAGACTCTCTCTCTCTCTATGAATATATATATATATATATATTCATTCATATATTAGACATACTTTTGTATGTAATTATGCTTGTATGTGTGACAGCATGCATGCATGCATGCATGCATGCATGCATGCATGTATGTATGTATGTCCATACTGCTCAGTTGCTAGATCTTCGCATGCATCATGCATGGCTTCAAGTCTCAAGGTGTCTCAGCTTGTGTGCGCTACTTGCTGGCCTCTTTTCTGACCCGTCGTGTTTTTGAATGCTGTGATATCTTTGCACATAGGATACTTGCATTCAAACTCGCTGGTGTGTGTATCTCCTATCAGAGGCTCTCCCGGGACTCGCTTTCGGAAACTCTCTGGCTCTAACGCCCTGGCAGTCTTTGTTGGGGCTTGGTTCTAGCATAATTTGGGGGTATGTTGCCACCAGACCTGCATAGTACGCTTTTTTTAGGGGACCCCTCGGGCCTGGACACTGCTGTTGTTGCTCCTTGCGGGTTGCTGGTCATCAGCTTGCCGCCCTCTCCAGGAAAGACCATTCCACCGTTGTCTTGGAGAAACTTCCTGAGTTTGGAGAAAGGGAGGCCCAGGGAGTGACATGCCTGAATGGGCTACGGACTGCAGGGCATAATGTAAGGTCGAGCACAAGGATGTGCGAAGCTTGAGTGCTTTACTGATCACCCTGGAAGGACCTGTAACGATGCATACGCACAACATCTGCAGCAATGACAATTAGCCCCAATGCGTCTCACCGAAGCAGCCCAGGTGGGACCTATCAATCTGCAGTCACATTAGCATTGGCTACTACGGCTCAGGATGGTTTGACACCTGGCCAGTGGTGCTTCCAGCCACCCCACTTCTATGAGAGAGTCTGTCGCGCAAGGTGTCGGTGTCGGAGCATCGGATGGGTGCTTTGCAGGTGGTCGGCAAGCATCAAAGTCGTCAAAGACCAACCCGGCCTTGACCCCAAACCTTGTCACGCTGAACTGCCTACGCACCATTCACAAGCATGGTGGTGCTACAGTAGCAATTCCATGACTGCCATCAGAAAGAGGGCAGGGTTGACCATGGCAGTAGCTAGTGATACTGCTACACGGTTGCACTTTGCTTGATTGAATGCCCAGGAAGCCTAAACCAGAGGAGTGTAGGCTGGTCACACACTACACGCCAACGATCACGGCAATAGTATCAAGTGACAGCTGAAAGCCAAATAGAACACTAGAAACCACAACGTCAGTTCTGCCATGTTGTCTTAAAGAAGGAGCTGTGAACCGAGAGGCTGATCCTCCGGAACCTTGAAGTGACCCTGGTTTACGCCCATGTTCACGGCCTCCCGCTGCAGCTTTGGCTGGGGAGGCAAGGTTTGAATCTAGCAGAAGCAAGGGCTCGACCGAGCAACAGCGGCGAAGTAGCTTCGATTTTTGAAGCTTAACATCCTCAGCCTGCACTAGGGAGTTGACTAGAGACTCTTGGAAAATGTTGTAAAGGATGACGAGGCCCGCAACGAAGCCTCAATGCCGAAACACTCTTACTGCAATCGCCGGGCAAACGAAACCGTTCACTAATGAGTTACACGCCTGGAGAGTTGGAGGATTCTCTTTTTCTTTCTCTCTCTCTCCCGTACCATTTTCAAAGGTCTGGCTACACAAGGGCGCGTAACAGCAGGCCGGACAATGAGGAGGGATCGCGCTAACACAAAAACTCCTCCATTCGTCTGGCCAACCCAATTGGACAAGAACTTACCTCAACGGATTGAGATACAGCATTTGCTTTAAGGCTTCAGAACTCAGGCCTAGAGTTCAAGTCCAGGTTTTGTCAGGTTTGGGGTTGCCTTCTCCTGAGAGCAGATGAGTGAGTGAGTTATATAGACCAAGCAGATCCAAGCAGTGAAGCGCCATCCCGAAGGTTCGATACTTTTACCCTGCCCTGGATGCAGTTGTGGTCGTGATAAAACACGACCATGACTCTTTGTCCAAAAGTCGCAGCTCAGCTTTGTCTCTGGTCTATGCAAGGCCTCAACATTCTACCTGCACATATCTGGGCCCAAACTTCTTAAGGTAAGACATGCTTACCTGTCGAGGCTTGAGTTGCATAAAGCCCTTCATCCCCGAACGCGAGCGAAGTGAGCGCCTTGCACGTGTCCTGCTTGTTGCCTTTCCGCGGTCCGGCTTCCAGCAGAGTCTCAGCAGTGCTTTGGACAGCAGTGCTTAGAATGGGATAGGAAACCCAAGCCCCACTACCCTACACTTTCCCGAGTTCCGATCACGGCTCTAGTTGCTACGGTGGGAGGGTTAGGCTTCAGGAAGCCGCAAGGTTGAGAAGTTTAGGACGTCTGCGGGCGACCCACGAGTGAACATTACTGCTGGGGTTCGATTCGGGCTCCGGCCTCCTTTCAACTTGGGTCTTGAGGCTTAAGGCTCGTTACTAAGCTTAGGCCGTCCGCCCGAATGGTGCCGAACAGCGAGACTATGCAGGCTTTCCGGTGGAGGGGAGTGTGGTCCTGCAGAGACCTAACACCAGCTTTTACATACCCGAAAGATAGGTCTTGAGGGCTTCCAGCTTGGTAAGGCTTGGAAGCTGGAAAGCTAATCCGGGAGAAACACGAAACTCTGAGATTGGGTGGACGACACTCAAGAAAACACAAGCCCAGACCGTCCAAATCCGAAGCATCGCTGTTGCTCGATTCTCCTAATCTGCACGGGGGGGCGGGGTCTATCGGAATGCTTGGGGCCCTGTTCCATAGCAACATCCTGTCTAGGGTTCCGAGCTACGGGACTTTTAACAGCCGTGCTTTTCTTTGACATCCAGTCGCAAGCTCGCAGGAGCCGCAGACGGCCGTAAAGAGCTTCTCCTCGGAGGACTACGGTGCAAGTGGCACAGACTGCATTCGGCTCTAAGTAAACACAGAACCGACGGAACACATCATGCCACGGAAACATTAGCCAGTACATCAACACAGTCCATCAAATCAGCGAACTTCCAATCCAGAATCTGAGTCCTCAAAGCTTTGCCTGAATGCTCACATGAAGACCCTCTGTACTTCCTAGATTTTTGCTAGTAGTATTCCTACAGCCAACTTGCAGCCAAAGAGGCCCCCACCAACAGCGCCACGGCACCACCGCAGCCGTCGGAAACACCAGGGCTGGATCGGGTAACCGTTCAGGGACTAAGCTTAAAAAAGGCCGCCTCAAGGGGTAATATAGGGGCCTTAATAATTACAATAGGGTATTACGGCCCATTATACTATAACAAAGATAAGTATAGGTAATTATTTAGGCCCCTATGCTATAAGGGGCCGCCTCCATGGGTAGTGTTTTCTGCGCCCATGTTGCAAAGCCAAGGCAAGGGCTAGGGTTTACGGTAGAGCTGATATGGAGTTCAGGAAGTCGAGACATAGAAAAGCGACCGAGTGTGATCCTCTCGATTCCTCTAAACGAATGAAAATACGTGAGCAGTTTGCAGGAAGGGTTTTTCAGGGCTTGCGTTCAGCTTCATGATTGAATTTCGCGATAGTGCTAGCAGTGCTGGCCAATACTCTTTCTTTCTCGTTGATGGCTGAGGATCTATTCAGGCGCAGGAGTACACACGGCTCGTGGTGTTCTCGTGCTAGGAACATGCTGTAGTTCTGGTGCACAGTTGAGGCTTCCTGCCGCCTTGAGACTTCAGAGTGTATCTTAGTTCCGACATAATACTGTAGGTCCGAACTATTGGAGTAGAGATTGCAGGTTGCTTCCACTGCAAGTAATGGTCCAGAAAGCTGCACGGGGGATGCACGCCATAAAAAAAAAGGCGAACAACTTGGATTCCCTCAAGCCCTCGCAAAGCCAAGGCTTCTTGCGTATTCCCGTGGCCGACATGATCAGAATGTCGGCCACGAAATAGCAAACAAAAGGCTGCTCTGTGCCATCATTCAGTTCAGAACAACCTACATGGTTCAAAAGAAGTTCAACTCGATAGTGTGAATGATTTGGACATCCTCATCGTAATAGAATGCCCGGGAGGACGAACCTTGAACCTGGAAGCTTTCTGCGTGCAAGCCGTGACTGTGGCCGTGATTTTGTGCCGCCTTTGTTTGCAACTGCACTCGCAAAGCCTATCTGTAGCCTAACAGCCGACGGCCCCCCCAAATCATGATTCTAGTTCATGTACACACTGGAGAGACAAGAATGTCTAGGACTCTGAAATCAAGTCTCCTTAGTCTCACAGGAAAGAGTTTATGGTCGAGGGCACGCAACAGTTTCCCCTCTCAGGCCGGACAGGCTTTTCTCGGGTTTGGGGATCGATAACTGAGGCCAGGATCTGAACATGCCGTCGAAACTCTGATTCCGGAGAACTTCCTTGTCGAGGTCCTCGAAAGCCTTTTTCAGGCAGGCCTCCAGCAAAACCAAGCTCCGGGCTCTTCACGAGTTGGACTTTGTTTGGGCTCCAGCGGCGCTGTTCAAAGAGCGGGGGCCCTAAGCCCTAAACCTCCAGGCTACATCACCCTGAATCCGAAAGTGGAGTCTAGTCGCCCTCTGCCAGGCAGTACTACGTAATCTGCCCATTCTCAGGTTGAGCAAGAGAAAGCGACCATGCGTTCCCAAGCATGGATGCAATACGGATTGACTGCGGTTTGAAGATGTTTGAAGTCTATGACATTGGCATGCAAGTTGAACCCGAAAACCACGTCCTGAAGCCACGGCTGAAACTTTGCTGCGTAAACCGATAGGCAGGATGACGGCCCACACGAGTTCAGAGTTCAGAGCCTACTTCACGGCTATATATGCCTTACAGCATGACGCTTTTTTCCCGAAGCTGACAGTGTCAACTGGAGCTCCAGGCCTCCACAAGCAAAAACAAGAGTATAGCCTCTAGCAACCGCAAAGCTTGTCTGTGCTTGGCCGTGGCACTGAAAACTCCTAGGCCACGACAACCAGGTATCCGCCAATACAAGGCTCCCCGGAACCCCACCCGTCGTGACCGGTGCAAGCAACCTTGATGAAGGTGGCGTTCTCGTAGCCCTGACAGCAGAGGCTGTCGACTCGTGTTGCACGATTTCGAGCGAATAACCCGGACCTGCCTGCTAGTACCAATAGTTGTGCTATTTCTGTCACTGGGGACAACATCGCAGCATATCACAGCAAAGGCCCGCTTTCAGAGAACGGCGCTCTGCCTTCCCATGGTTCAGACTGCCTTCATCATCCTGAAACCCAAAGAAAATGTTTCCTACAGCCCTTTCAAGTCCTGACCACTCACAAAACCGAAGCCACGCACGAACACACGAGTTTTTTTTAGCATTTTAGCAGCCAGGCAAAGCCCACAGGGTTTCATGTACAGAAATCTCGAGCCGTCTGCTTCCGCAGAGTCCTCAACAGGCTTATAAACTTGTAAACCTTCAAAGCCGCTGAGGGCGCGAAGCCGTGTCTGGTACAAACACTGCAGCTCAACCCAAGAGCGAATCGGGGAAACACTATCACTGTCAGTTGAACCGCTGGATTCGAGGGTCTCAACTAAGCCACATGTTAATCGTTTCCCTGCCTGGGGTATGGCGGACATGTTCCGCAACCTCAGCAACCCACCGTGTTTCTGGAACGTGGAGTTCTGTCTTGCGAGCAGACGGTGACAAAAGGCTGCAGCATGTAGAGATGGTTTTCTTGTAGTGGGGCACGTTGAGGTCTGACCTCCCGACACGAAAGCGTCCGCAAACCCCACCCACAAATCGGAAAAGCCTTGAAATCGGCTCTTCTCGTTAAGCTGGAGATGTAAAACGCAAAGCAGGCTCAATCCAAAACAGAAATGCGCAGGCCTCAACCCAACAACGGCAACAACGCACAGGCCACTGGCACAACATCCCAACTCTGAGCTAGGTACCATGGTGCCGCATTGCTACACAAGCTCAGATTAGTACCTTTGTTGTTCAAGATTCAAGTGGTTGTGATAGCAACGGTAGTGTTAAGTCGTTCGCTTCCTAGCGTGTCCTACGAATTCCGGAAACAATCAAACATGACCAAACACATCAACATTTTTGACCACGCTCACCAGGATGGAATTTGGAAATTGACCACAACCGAACTCTGAAAAAGTTGCACTGTGAACCAAACAAGCATCAGAAAACATGTCAGCAACAAATTGAAAGGACTGTAGGGAAGCGAGGTGCAGGGGGCCGGGGTGGGGGGGGGGGGGGGNNGGGGGGGGGGGGGGGGGGGGAATTGACTTTCCGTTGGAAAGATGGGAAAATTGTAAAAGGCCAACCATCAACAAAAACAGAAGAAACTAGAAAACGTCAGAAAGCAGGGTAAGTAGAAATCAGAAAGAGTTCAGAACGGAAGACAGACATCGTACTCACATTTTAGTGGTAGCAGACCTTTCTGAACTGTTGGTTGACATTTTTCTGACTTTTCTACTTCTGGCCACACCTTCTGGACATGTCTGAGTTGTTTTCTGATTTTTGTTGATCCGAAAAATCGTAGAAAGTAGCTTATGCGAACGACTTGCCGTTAGGTTTCTACTTGATCACGTCTGGGCTTTTGGCTGCAGTGCTGTCGTGTTCGGAGTTAAGCTCTGAACGTAACTTCAAGGCCAAGACCCGAAGCGTTGCTGGCCCTTGGCAGAAGCCCAGATACCCCTCGTGTCACCACTAGTTCTGAATGACAAGCTGCGACCCTGTATGCACCATCCTCGAATCGGCCTCGGAGCCACAGGTAGTACACACCCCTGACGCAGTTTAAGATAATAGCTACAGTATGTCACAAATCCCACTATTGGGGCTGGTAGCCCTAAACCCCAAATCCTGATGCCAAGCTGCAGCTTCGGCTGCAGCGCCTTGGCACAGCACTCGGCGGCCATGGGCCCGGGTCCCTGCAAAGGTTTCGAATGGTTTACCGTTTCGGGCGTTAGGTTTACGGTCACAGGGATTGATGATTAGTTGTTTTTTTTTGGGGGGGGCATCGCCTATCTTCTCGGTCACCTGCTATGGCCAATGCCAATGTCTGACAGCTCATGTGCGACTGGCTTCGAAGATTGCCGGGGTTTAAGGCGTTTTCTTGAGGTGGATGGGGGCGTGGGGTGGTGTGTGGGGGTGGGGGGGGGGGGGGGNNGGGGCCGGGTGCGGTGGTGTGAGTTGGGGTGGTGGTCTTGGCACAGGCCAATAAACCAGAGGCCCCCCACGTCAGGTACTTGTAGAAAGTTTATGCAAGTCTAGACTGTAGCTGTCTCGTATGCACGGACCTGAGCTTCTCAGGAATTTTGGCGAGTTGGGAACCTTAATGCCATTCGAAAGCTTGGCGGGTTTTCGCTTCTCCGGTGGCGTGATCGCGGCCACAGGATCCTACACCATCAATCACAACACTAAGGCCGTAGGTCGCCGCTCCGGCCTCTGCTGCCGACTGTCCATCGAAGAGAGCGAAGAGCTGCAAAGGTGCTTTGTTCCTCGGTGACTTCAGGCGTAGCCGGCTGAGTTCAGCTGCAGCAGGGTACAAGTTTATCGGTTCGCTCTTTTGACATGGTTCCAGGCTCGCAGCTAGGCCACTCATCGGTTCAGGCTTTACGGATTTGTGGATTGAGCGCCTTGGATTTGGTTATTTCTTGCTTTGAGTACCAAGCAAGGCTTAGAATGCGGCATTGTCTTAAGGCTCGCGAGCAACGGTAGGGAATTTTATGCTCACTTCAAAGACATCTGATTCGAGAAATGAAGATTTCTTCAACAAGCTGAAAACAAGACCAGATCCCTGGTTCAATCGGTTGTGACAGCGTGCTCGGCACTTTGTGTGGATGAATGCCACAGTGCGTTCAGTAATAAGGCTAGCAAGAACGACCTGTCACCCCGCAGCTCCGAAGAAACGGAAACCCTAAACCGGCCATGTGGCTCAAAGAGGCCTCCCGTAGGCAAAGCGATCTTGGATCTGGCCGCCGCTTTCCTGGTTTTTATGGCTTCTGTGGATTTGTAGCCACAAGCAGCACACAAACACCTCCAGATTCTCAGGGGGTGTTGCTAACTTGGGGGATTGGCGCGGAAGTCAAGGCCCGAGCTCTAGAGGCCAGCCAGGCCTGCATCCTTTGGGTGGCTTCTTGTGCCACAAAAAAACAACATCATAGGATCTTGTAGAGTATCGAGTAGGGCTTGAAGGATTCTAGCTGCTAGCTTCATGAGGCTTTACAGGACCTTTTTGTAGCGCATGGCCGAAACGAGCTTCACAAGCAACCCTGGCACGCCCGAACCAGAAGCCAGAGTGGTGAACAGCTGTACTAAAACCCTCACCCAGTGCGGATCCTACTCTCAGGCTGCAAACCCTTCAAACTCCTACAGATCAAGTGAGACCCTCTGTGTGGCTGTTGGCCGGGTCCGGGTTTTGAGGGAAGTTCCGTCCACAGAGCCGGAAGAGCTAAAGTCAAGTGGACAGGAACCTGGCCCTTGAACTTGAGGCCTGCATCTGACTCGTTCGGGATTCCAGGTGCGAATTCAGCTTTGCAGATGCTACTCCATGAATGAACTGTCAGACTGGTGTCCTCAGATCCTTGACGACGATGTGGCGCACCAGGTTGAGATCCACCCTGCTGCCGGTAGCGCTAGCGAACATCAACTACACCACTAAGGTCACACACAGCTTTTGCATTTACTTGGGCGTATACCCCAGGACGAACAGATATGAGCAGATGTCAAGCTCAAAGGTGAGTACTTGGATCTTATTCAGTTTGAGATTCAGGAGAGGTGCTGCTAACGGGTTTATGGCCACTGTCTCTTTTCCTGGTAGGATCCCTCTCGTGCCCCTCTAAGATATCATGCGAAGAGGTGGCGACATTCTTTGCAGTCAATTTGGAGACGAGGTGGACACACGTAGGCCCTAAAACGTACCAAGCCCTGAGCGCGTTGTTGGGGGTTTCTTACTCGGCAGGGCAGACTGAAAAACAGCAACCCCTGTGGATAAACAGCCCACAGTAACACCCTCGAGTCAGCCGTGCACGGCCAGATCACCAGCAGCAAGACTTGGACCCCCGACCCTCAATGCCGCCATGAATCCTAGGGGCACACAGTGCCGAAACACCTTGAGTACCAATCGCATCCCCCACTTCAAACCCGAATGAGGCCAAACCAAACACCAACACCCTCCGTGACCTCTTGAAGCAAGCCCGTAGCTGTGATTTTGAATTTCTCTTCCAAGTTTACATCGTAACGCCGTAGAAGTTTGTGACTTTCGGGCATGAGGCTTTATTGTTGGCGTCAGGGTTCATCGTGATTTGTCGGGGTTGCCAGTGCTCAGTGTTGAGGTTGTGGGGGCCTACCTCGTGGCCCCGATCATCCCAAAATGCAGGCAAGGTCTGAGAATGCCCATGTTCGACTTTGGGGCCTGGTCGCGTGAAAGATCCTATGACCTATGAAGAGAACCTCAGTCTCAATTTCAGAGCCCTGCGACGATCTCCCCAGAGCAGCCTCCCCAAGCTGACGGCATCCACGGCAACTCGCAGTGTCGCAGCTGCCTCCTCTTCCTCCTCGGTTCTCACTGTGTCAGGGTTTGAAGTTGCATGCGGTTGCAGAGCTTTGAGTTTGAAAGATCTGTAGCTGGCCGCAGGTCGGGAATCAGGGGTGCCGTGTGGGAGTCACGGAAATCGGGTAATGACCTCAGGACCTACAGTCAGTGACCGTCTTCGGGTTTTCAAGGGGGAGCTGCAGAAATTTCCCTGAAGCATGCCGGCCCTGACCTGGGGTTCTAAACTTAACACTGAGACATCCAAGACCTCGTTAAACAAAACCAAAGACAACGGGATCAGGGGCAGCGGAAGCGTTGCAGGGACTATTCTTGCTTAGGAAAGCCGCGATCAAGTATACTTCGTCTTCCACGACAACTCTGCGGGCAAAGCCACCAGCCCTTGCGTAAACCCACAGACCGCAGCTGCATTCTCGTCACCCTACGTTTGGAGTTCGAGGAACAACTAAAAGGATCTCTAACCGTACTAACCCTCCCGAGCCCTGAAGCCAAGCCTATAGGCAAGTTTACATCCCTGCTGGCAGTTCTGGCAGGCCGCACGCAACTCCTTCGCCTGGAGTTCTTTCGCCTGCAAGTGCTTCTAAAGCAATTTTCAGGGCTTCAGTGCCTGAACGGCTCTAAGGTTCTGCGGGCCTTGGGAGCTTGAAGGCTTCAAGGTTTAGTGCATGTGTCGCAACGACTTGCAAGGCCTCACACCTTGATCTGAAAAACACGAGTTCCGAATGTTGCTCTGGGCATTGACATTCTCCGCCGGGCTGATCCCACAACATTTCATGTGGATGAACTGGGGGCCGTTTTCCGCACCTGTACAAGCCGAGCAAGGTCTGCAACGACAAGGAAAAGGCAAGAATGTGCATACAGTCATGTTATATAACAGGAGACGCGTAACTGGGCTCGGGATTTCGGTCTAGTGTCCAAAGCCCAAAAAGGGGAACTAGACCCCTTACATGTCCTGAATAAGTTAACAAGCAGCAACCATGTCACTGAACGCAGGCCCCATTCTAAGTCTCACTAGGCCGTTCTCTTGTGGGAGGTTTCGATTTCAAATCCAGGGTTCTTAGGATCTATGTGAGGAAGCCCCCCTCCCTTCCAAACCAAAAGGGGGCTCATCCAACACCCGCCTCTTCATGCTCTCGCCATTGGTTCGGCAGCTGTCCCTGCTGCTTCAGCTTCCTCAAGATGGGTCCCACGCAGTTTCGCTCGGGGCTTGGCCAATGCCCACCCGAATCGCGAAATCCAACATCTCTCTCCCAGGCATTCAGATCCAACCTACACCCCGAAAACCTGAAGCCTGGCGCTTCGAAGCTTCGGCCCAGGGTGACAAGCTCATGGGCGTGCTAGCTGGTCGGTGGGTCTTAAGAATCTATTTCGGGGATCTCAGTTTCGAAAATTCTGGGACAATATCCACTTCGTTCTTGATGATCCACGAGAACCCAGAGATCCAGAACTGGTCTGATGCTTTCGAATTGACGCACAGATCACCCCTCGCCCTCACGACAAGCATCCACAGCGGCGTTCCGGAGAATCCCGCATTACTCGAGCAGAAGTTCTGTCCAGATGAGCCTGCGACACCGAAGCAACAAATCATCACAGCTCTCCGGATTGAAACTCACGCGGGATGTTGAGAGGCCCGTGGCTGGGACAAGTTGCAACCTCTGGCAGTGGAGCTCTCAAAGGACAGTTGCTGTGGCTGCTGCTTGATATCTGTCCTTCCTTTGCTCCATCCTGGCCCATCCGAGTTGAAGGCATGACCCACGGCCTCCTGTGTCTGTAAGACCAAGACGAGCTTGTTTCTGAAGCCGCCCTCCGACAAATTCTGCAGAGTGATTCTCCACAAACCCCTAGTGTCCAGAGTTGCTAATTAGATGGGCTTGACACTCCGTACAACTTGAGCCACAAACCCTTGAACTTGATGCTTGAGGTACTCAAGTACGGCTTCGGAGCATTCCCAGCCACACGCATCTTCGTCAGGATTACGTAAAAGCAACTTTTCTCGGTAGCCGGCGCAAGGTAGTATAGAACGATATGTATCAGCGTGCCTCCTCCAACACTCATCGCGACCCCGGATTTGGGCAATCCGGAAGTCCGCAATCTCTGAGCCGAAATGGTTCGGACGGGGCATCACAAGAGCGCTCCAGGCCTTGGCGAAACGAGCTAGGGGTCTGATTCCGCGCAGGGTCGTGTTCTGTAGTTGCGGTAAAGGCGGAGAATACAGAGGGAGGGAGTTGTAGAGTAGAACAGGCAAGCTCAATGTGCTATGCCCTGCGAGGCAAAGCTGAACTGATAATTATTACTACCTGCAGCATCCGCAATGAAGTCCCCAAGGAGAGTGCCGATTCAAATCAACACGGAGCTTTTGATTTAGTGGGGAAAACGGGAGCATCCTGGCACTGGCACGCCACGTTTTTCATCCAGCCCCTGTCGGCGAAGCCTTTCGCGCTAACTGAGGTCGGATCTGCAGAAACGTGCACGCATAAAGTGCCCAAGCTGCATTCTGCGCAGACACGGTGACCAGGGCACAGTAAGGTCATGCCTTAAAATCGCAAGATAACATACAACCTCATCCCTTCCCCCAACCTTTCTGGGGGACTCTTGACTCTTTGTGTAATTTCGAACCGGTTGAAACCGTCTCCATACTTTTCAGACTCGAACCCTTCCCCGAAAACCCTGTTCTTGTTTGACTTTAGGTTGAGCCTGGGAGCTCCCCCGGAAAGAAATTTATGACAAGGAGGGGGGAAAATGGTCATTCTCTACACCAGCCGGCACAGCGGAAGGCACTCTTCAGAGCTTGGCGCAGGGTAGCCCACCAGCTGCGGGCAGGCTGAGATGCAGATCCGGAAGCCTCCTCGTCTACAATCAAAGATAGCAGCTGGTAGAAGGAGCCAGAGCCCCACTTACGAAGCATGATGCTCTAGACCGAACAAGACCAACAGTATTGACAGTATTGATGACTGTACTACAAGTATGAAGAGCCGTCAGTTGCCGTACTCGTTTTCCTGTTGCCGCTTCCCATGAACGAAAAGCGAAACAGAGTCTTCGAATCTTGAAAGCCAGTGCATCTAGGCTGGGCTTCGCACGCCTCTGGTACACAACACGTGGCAGGCTCGAAATGCAAGAACAACGCCAGCAGACCAATACAACTCCAAAGCCGGGGCTCAGGAGTCGTCATGGGAGGGGCTGGCGGTTCCACCTCTGAGTCCACGTCGGCATCATGCTCAACGTTCTCCTCAGGTGCCTCCGATTCTGGAATTGCGGTTTCTGGTTTCTGGGGCTCAGGTCAAGGGGCCTTGGGAATTGGGACTGCGGGATGCATGCAGCTGGTGCCTCCGATTTTGGCTTTGCGGTTTTTCTGGGTGAGGCTCAGGTCAAGCGCCTACAAATTGGGACTTCGGGGTGCCTCCATTGGCCGCTCAGCTTGCGGCGCCGGCTGAGAAAGTCGCGCCAGCACATGGCTTACCACCCAAGACGAAGCAAGCTGGCCTTCCTGCACCTGGCATGACTCCTGCGGAAGCATGGGGCGATCGAAAACTGCTGAGACCGAGACCCTAAAGGACGGTCTGGAATCCTGCATGCTCAACCCTCAAACCACGCCAGCAAAAAAAATCGAGCCGCACATCACCTTGACCCCGACAGGAACTGCGACCTCAGAAAGTGCAACTCACACATTTCAGTCCGTAGCCCCTCCTGCTCAAGCACGGGCTCTGTGTGCTTTGACAAAGCAATCCAGCCAGAGAGCGGCTGTTGGATGCGTGCCTCGCTGAATTTGTGATTGGTTTCGGGAAGCGGGTTGCAGCGCGTGAGGAGCTGCTACACGACGAGGGACTATTCTGCGATCTGAGCTTGGCTCCCAATTTTTCTGTATATGGCTGCAGGTCCTGAAGCTTGAGGTACGGAAGAACGGATGATAATTCGGCATATTTACCCTGCAGAAGCATGGATCCCTGTTGAAAACCGAAGCTCTTGCACAACACTTCAACTTGAGTAGAGTTCAGCCCTCCACCCTGCCACATGGCATCACGAGTCTTCGTCTGAGAGTACCTCGTAGATTCCTGCATCTTTTGACGCCTACTCCGGGTCCCGACGGAAGATCACCAAGACTCACTGACCGTTTCTATCCACAGGAGCTCAGAGAGTTCATCTTCCTAGGCCTGGGAGGCTCCGAGGCTCCCAGGTGTGTGACATAGACCCGTAGGGAAAGGGAGCCTTACCTTACCCTAAGGGTCCATGTGCTCATATAGTATATACATTGGCCTTAATGTAGTCCCTATATAGGTACTTTAGGGCCCATGTATATCCCATATGAGTACATGGACCCTTAGGGTTATGATGATTGTCGAACCCAAAGAGGATTCTGTGCTTCGACTCGGCCTTTTTGCCGCGCACTTCTGCCACCAGCACTCGGCTACCTTCATGAAGGGCACCCAACACCTTAGAGTTGGATTGAGGCTGAGGCTTGATCGAGGCATATCTAGACTTTACAGGGCTTACGGTTTAGGCAGGGATTGAGTCTTACGCTTCGAGTGCGGACTTCTGGCCGTAGCGCTGGACTTCAGGATCGAGGGCACCAAGACAAGAAAGCAGCCAGCGAATGCTAACCCCTTTGATACTTCGGGGATACCAGAAAAGGCCTGAGCCACTCCCACCCCAAACACTCCAAGGTCCCAGCACCTGTAAGGCTCATGCAGATCCTACACCTCCCGGCCACAGTTGAACATGTGTAGTGACGGAAGACCCTGAATCCAACAACCAGGCAGCAACAAGCTCGAAAACGACATCAGAGATGTCGCCAGGCCCCCAGCCATCAACGGAAACCCTAACTTACCCTGCATCTCCAAACCCTCAAGTGACTGTGACACCCCACAACCCCAACACGTCCAGCAAGCCGTTCGCAAGTAAGTCCACAACCCACGAGCCTTTCGCTGCAGACGCAGCAAAACCCCCCTCTCAACCTCCGCCTCCAGAATTTCAACAGGTCCTGCATCCTGGGCGACCCCGGAATGCTTCTAACAACACCCAGAGCCGAAAACGCTAAACCCGAATCCCCAATTCTTAAACCTAGTACAAGGAAGACTGCTTGAAATTTGTAATCTGCTTCGACTACACCAGCTCCTTGCTGGACATTATCACCTCGGGCGGCATGTTGACTCTGAGGGTTACCGTACTCTGCATCACAGGTCTGACGATGTATAACTGTATAACGATGTATACCTTCAGGAAACGGGAGCGCAGTCCATCCCCCAGGCCTATAAACCCACGCAGCCAACCCTGTGGACCCGCCAGATTTTTGAACCCTTGCGAGCCACCTCGGAGTCTTTGGAGGCTGTGCTTCGCACTTTCGCTTCTCGCAAGGCTCGGGACCAGCCCGGTCGAATCTCGGCTGCCTGGCACTCGGGGCTTCGGGGCTTCGCTCTTCTTCCAGTGTAGATATTAGGCAATGCTTCTGTTCTGCTCCCTTGCCACACTAAGACACACCGCAACCCATGCCATGAAGGCACGGCAGCACCATGATCGGGAATCTAGGCTCACAGCTCACACACGGTGACTTTTGCTCAAAGATTTGCAAGACCACACAACCATGAATGTACCAGCAGGGATTTCTAACGCTCGGGACATCTTAGCCGAGTATCGTCGGCCCCTGGCTTCAGGAGGGTTTAGGGCCTGGAATCTAAAGCTGATCGGACTTGATCAGGCTTGTTCGCTTGTAGCTTCACCGTGTTTCACGTGCTTTGGTGCAGTCTTTCGGCTGTATCTGTCAGGGATCGCAGCTTGGGCTTCCGCAATTCACACGCCGCCTGTTTAGAAGCAACTACGCTAGGGTTTCAAAATCCATGGCTTGAGCTCAGGCTACCCGGATGTATATAATTTGAGCTCTGAAGCTTGAGCTTCAGCCAGGACATCTTGGACTCAGGGCTTCAACTCTAGCCCGGATAAAGGGGCCAAACGTCAAGGGTGGTGGGAGGTTCGATTTCCTGACTCCGTCATGAGTTGAAGACTCTCAGTCTTAGACTGACCACCAAATCTGAACCTTTTTTGTCCGCCTTGTGGTCGGCAGCTGCTTTCCTTCCTTCTGCTGCAAGCTCCTCCATGCAACCACGGAACAAGCCAGCGGAAACCATGTAAAGGGCAACAGCCTTAAAGCAAACACATACGTCTCATGCAACATCTTTGAGCCCTAAGAGTACCGCATCCCTCTGAAACAGTAGCCATCTAAAGCTTGGGCTTCTCCTCCATGTGAGCTTTCTGCTGTTGCTGTTGCCGCCCATCGAGTGTCCGCCGGCCAAGCAGCCGAGGGTCCTCTTTGCTCTCTTGGCATACAGCGGGTGTACTTGCGGCTGCTGGCTCCATGCTGGGAGGCATTCCTACGCTAGAGCCGAAAATCCTGCAGTAAACTCTGCCTCATCCATCCCCCATCCTCTGCCCCAAACCCAGGAGCCCCAAGCCAGAGATGGAAGCTGCCTCACAATGTACCAACACAATCACACGCGAGTGCTGAACCACACAAGCAGGAAAACGCTGCAGCTCAACAGTCAAAGGAAGCTGTGGGTCTCAGGGTTCTGGGCTGAAGTTGAAGCTAGCTTTAAGTGAGGACGTCTGAGAAGCCCAAGCCACGAAATCCTCTAGCACTAGACTCGAGATGTAGGGGATGAACGCGAGGGTGCAAACCCAAAGCCCAATGCCTGAGACGTTCCAAGATTTTTACAACCCTTAAGGCCTATTGGCCGGCCCTACTGTACAAACGAGGTTCTTGTAACGCCGCTTTCAAGCCTTTGTGGCTTCGAGCCTTTGTGGCTTTGGGTCTCTGTTTTGACAAACCCCGAGCAACGAATGCCACGCAAGCAGAGGGAACCAAGATTTGGAAAGGTATGCCAGGGCAGAGCCCCAAATCTAAATCACAGGTCGTGAGAAAGATATGGACCTCGCCACACCCTTAACGGAACCCCATAGTCTGTACCAAGCTGTCTGGGGAAAACTCTACAGGTCCTAGAATCCTAGATCCCCAACTCTGAAGCCCGACAAGGGTAGCAAAAGTCATGTTCGAGGCATGTGAAAAGTCCTACGAAGTCTGAAGCCCGCCCCTTGTGCTGAGGCAGGCGCAGGCGCGGGGACAGCGCAATGCCAAGCCTCAAACTATGAAACCGTGCCTCCGCATGTTCACGGATACATCGGAGGGTGCAGGTTGTGGTTTAAGGCTCTGGGATGAAGAGTGCACGGTTGAGGGCCCAAGCATCGTCTCTAAAGTTTAAGGGCTACCGACACAATGGGTGCCCTCGGGGTTGTCGTGTTGGATCATTCGATTCTGGAGCCTTCTCAATCTTCTCAGACATCAACATTATTTTTTGACTCACGAACTGCACCCGCCTGATTCACCCCTAGAATGCGTAAATGCGCAAGAAAACCTCTAGAACGACCTAGTAGCAATATGGCTACTTTTCCAGTCCCTGCACGCGAACCCTAAAGCCGAAACAGACAAAGCAAAACCCCTAGCCTCAAGGCTGCAGGACAGCTAGCAATTCCTGGCTAAGGCAGTGCGTACTCAGCAAGAAGTACAAGCTGCAACACATCCAAAGAAAGATACACCAGTAAACACGCGGGTAGATAAGTAAGTGGAACCTAAGGCAAAATGTGGAGACTTAAACAGAAACCTTTCTTTCAGGGCCTTAATCGGATCCCTGTGATACTATCTGTTTTTGCCTCGCGCTTGGCTAGGACCGTAGAACAGGGTGGCTGCCACAGAACTTGTTGAAGCAAGACGCGGACAGTTGAGGGACTACATGAAGGCAGGCTCGGCTAAAAGCCTCCTTCGGGGTTGAAGGCTATGTGTCTCTCGGCCAAGCTGCTCAAGGGTTCTCTCTGCCGATAATCTATCCGTCTGGGGTCCCAAGAGCGAAGATTGCTGCAAGCTCATCTGATTCGTGCTTAGAGGATTACAGGAGGCCAGCCTGACCTCAAATTAGCTACTTTCCCGAACATCTGTGGTTGCAGACGATGTAGGCTGAGTCAGGCTTCTGCGGAGTTGACTGAAACCGGTTTCCCAGTCTCTTCAACGGCCTTGACCGTACCCCCGTGACTAAGTCGGTGGCTACTTGATGTTACACTCGCTCCATCTTTAGGGTTTTGCCTGTGTGAGTTCGCAACTCCCATCAACCAGCACATTGGAGCTGTCTGCGGCCACAACCACAGGAGAAGCCGGTCGCGGAGGCGATGCGGCCAACCTAGTGTGGGGGGTTGAGGACTTGACATTTAACTCGAGCCGTAAGCCCGAAACCCTTTGCAGGATGTGAAGGCTTTTGCATGCATGGGGAGCTGGCATTCGCTCCCAGCAGGTCCAGTCCAATGAAGACTCTCCAGAAGCACTTATTGGGCATCACACAGATGCAGAACAAATCCACTAGACCAACATCGGCGCCATTTGCTTAAATGTGGTTCGCGGGCCGTTCTACACGCCGTGCATATGGAACCGGGTGGCTCATTATTAAGTTCTCAGTTCCAGCTTGATCTATTCGGCTATGTGGTTTGCATCCCTCAATCCTGAGGCGTGAGAGCCTGAAGGTGGACTGATTCAATCGTGTAGGGCTTCGCGTCCCAATAAACACAACTGGCTTGAGGGTGAAAGGGTTTTGGGCTTTGGAGCCGAAACGACCAATGACACATCTATATCTAATCCGAGGGTCTGAATAATTAAATGGTCCACATTTGAAGAAATTGTTTTCGGGCCGGAAGAGGAGTTTCCATTGCGGCGGGATTTCCTCTCCCTTAGCAGGAGCTGGCTTCCGAGCCCAAGCTTTTTCCCAAAGTTTCAAGCGTCTCAGAAAGCTAGGCTTTCTTAAAAAATTCGCTTATTCAAAGAAGCCATTTTTCATTCTATCCTGAGCTACCCCTTACGGGGCCTGCCCGGCAGCACACCAAACCAGATTAATAAAAGGGTCCACATTTATAGCAAGCCTCCGAGCCGGGCCCGATCGTTTTGCTTGTTTCTTTCGCAGAATGGCTTTCTAATAGATATTCAATACAATCCTATTATTTTTAATAGAGCCCAAAGAGCCCCAGTGAAGGTTTTCGCCATCCATCCAGCCTTGTCCAATGGCTTTGTAATAGAGATTCAATGCAATCCCATTGTTTTTAATAGAGCCCGAGAGCCCCAGCAGCCAAGAGATGGTTTTGCATTAATGCGGCCCCCGGCATCCTTATTCCGGAGGGGGGGGGGGGGCCCTACTATTTAGACCCTGGGATTAGCTACCTATAGGACCCATCTACACTTCTATCTATATCTGTCTGTCCTTTTATGCGTATGTGTATCTACATATATGTGCGTATACATATTAATAGGTGTGTGCGTCTGAGCAGCGGATTTAACGGAGTCCTGTGCCCACTGTTCAACCTTATACACCTACTAAGGACCTAAAGCGAACAAACCGTTTGAACTTGCGTGCGTTCAGGTGATGCTCCTTGATTTTAGGTATTGGGGGGAGTCGAGTTGGTGTTGCCAAGTTTGGTGTGGGCTTAGGCTTAGGAGCTCAATATTTCGGGTTCAATGTGTTCAGCAACCGCCACGGTTGCCTAAAACTGCGAGAAGAATGTCGATCTGCAAACGTGTGGAGGGATCTCACACCGACTTCTTCTTTGCTGAGTTTTGCCCGGATTTAAGACGTAGGGTGTGTAGGGCTCTGACAACAAAAAGCTCTCCGCTGCGTGGTTGCGAACGCGGCAACATCACGAACACCGCAATGATCCCCAAAGAAATGAATACCTGTAGCCGAGACCAAGAAACCTGCATGGTGCTGTCGTCGACAGGGGGCTGGGCGCATGGTACACCTGACACAAAGTTCAAGCGGATTCTGATGTCTCTTCTGGGGTGATAAGGGTGCGGCCAGTACTTCAAGCTTCTGTCATCACCAGTGAGTCCATGATCGGCGTCGCTTGGGTCAAGCTTTGAGGAATGAAGGGTTTGGCGTGAGACGAAACAAGAAGCCGTGAAGGTGCGGCTAAAGCCTTCCGCAGGTTCGATAGCACCAACTGCTGTCGCGACGAATCTGTGCTCACAAACAGTTCAATGCAAGAGGAGTCTTTTTAGGTAGGAGCCTGGCAACGAGATGCTGTTCAAATTGAAGATCCCCTGTTGCAGAAGCGCAAATGTGGACAACTAAAGCCACGGTTGCGACGAGGTTTTCCTGCTACGTGGCGAAACGACACATCCCAGCCGTCCATCGGGACAGGTACGTGGTGAGCAACCGTACATACGTCACTTGCGCGCGCACGTCAAGGAAGCAGGAGATCCAGCAGTGAGGATGTCGGTGCAGTCGAAGGCGCTGGGATGTCTGCCGTTTGGCCAGCTGTATACTGGGCTCAGAGGAGTGGTTCCGACAAAATTGAACGGCTTAGGGTTTGGTGGTGGTTGTTGGCTTTCTAGCAAGCTGGTAACCCAGCCGCTGCAAGCTATGGACATCAGCTTCGACATGGTTTGTGGTCTTCGAAGCGATGAAAAAGACCGTCGTGTCCAGTCTTTTTGGTTTGACGAAAGCCCTCCTACTCTCAAAGATCTAAAGCTATTCCGAACATTGCACTTGCCCCCAGGTCATGCTCATGGACATCCGTGCCTCCTCAAATCTACGATTCATCCGAAACCCTACTTCTGGACCCTTTGTCGGAGGGCTGACGAGGACGACAATTCCGTCCGAGCGGCGTGATCTGGCCATCGCAAGGCCATGGGCCGAAAGACGCGTTGGCTTACAGACTTCGTAGCTTCGGGTGAAGGGCTTACGGTAGCTGTAGGTGTCTGAACACTGGGTCATGCAGATTGTGCATGTAGGGTTTCAGGTCGCGGCCCTTGGATTAGGCTTTGCGGGTTGGTGGCTAGAGCTCTTTGGAGTAAGCTTATTCGATGTGAGCATTCCATGTGTTGGTTGGGGTTCTGTGCTTGGGGGGGGAACGGCGGATGAAGTGGGACCGTCTTCTCGATTCGTGCCGTCTCTGCACTGTGGCGGCTTCTTTGGGTGGCCGCTTTCATGTACAATTGTTTGAGCCGCAGTGAAGGAGTCCAGTTCTCACGACGCTTGGGCATGAGTGCAGAAAGCGGATGTTGCCTGCCCTAGCATTGATTCCCAAACTGCTTCGAGAGCATGGACTTCCCGATCAGAAGAATTTCCCGAAACATACTGGCTGAGCGGTAGGTAGGCTTCTTCCTCAACCACATGTTTGCCTTATACAACAGTACTCCACCGTCGGAAAAAAACAATGCTAAGACTATGCGACCTCTCAAACCCAAAACCTCAAAACACTTCGCTATCTGTACCGATGACAGATCTTCTCTATCGCAAAACGATCTGGACCAAGGGGTATAATGACTGAACTTGGCAGTTTATGGGATAATGCAGCCAGCATGTAGTACAGCAGCGACAAAAAACACTACTACATACTACTACCACCGCCGCCGCCACCACCACCACCACCACCAATGAAAGATACGGATCCCTTCCAGAAACCCCCTTATTATGCGAACAATCCTCCTATGCCCGACCAAAGCATTGCACCATGAGCTGGCTGTCGCAGATAGCGAAGAGAGGCACGCGTCGTGTGCCACCCTTCACCCTCGAACCAACAACTGAAAGCTACAATACAATGCAGCTCATGTGCCGAGTTTTTGTCACGAGCTGTGCCAGACAGCCCTTGTCTTGGAGAAACGTTCCTCGACGTAGCTTGCCACCAGTCGCCAGGCCAACTGAAACTGGGTAGAAAGCAATGGAAGCAGCCTGGAAGCCAAGCTCTGAGCAGTCAGAACTCGGCTTCAGCCGCCGGGCAAGCAAGCCACTCCAAAGGAGAAACTGGGGACTGTCTCTCTCCCATCATGGTAGCATCTTTGGCCGGCATCTCCATCACACCCCGAAACCGAGCTGCGCCCTAACAGGCCTGCCTGACACAGGAACCTGTAAGTACGTCGACTATGGTTTAGGGGCAAAAAAGACCAAGATAAGATGAACTAAGGGCTTTGAGGGAATATCATGAACGGCATGAGGAATCCAAAGCTTCTCTCATCGATTGCAGGAGCCCCGAAAGCCACCAAAACAGCATGTGCGGTGAAGGGGTGACTGTTGCTGATGCTTTGAAGTGTAGCCCCAAACTTCACTTTGATAACGTATCTTTCCTTCTCTTCTCTCTCACTCTCACGCAAACTCCGGTTGCTTATCCATGCCCTCTGAAGCCTTTGACTATGCCAACTCCGCTAGGCCCTGTCAACCATGAACTATGAGCCCTGACTTTATCTGTGAAAGCACAGCTGCTCTCAGGCTTCTTGCGGAGCCTTGCAGGGTCGAAGAGCGCCAAGGGGAAAAAAACAAAGCTTGAAGGGTTCTTCCTCTTCCTGGTCTGAATTAAGCACATAACATTACGACGTTCTGTCTGGGTATAAATAAATACATAAATATATATATATATATAAATTTGCATGGGTATCAATATATATATATATATATATTATGTAGAAAAGGACCCGAAGGACCTCTTCTAGGGAGCTTCAGAAACCTTCACTGTGAGACGCCCATGTTCAAGCGGTCTACTGCCTCCAGCAACACTTCAAGAAAGAACTGTCGTGAAAGTTTGGCACGGGTTGTAAACTAAACCGCCTTGGGTTCAAGGCTGGGGTTTGCTCCTTGCGAGATCTAGCCCCTGACTCCATAGCCCGAATATTCGAAGCTTCTTCAGCAGCGCCCAGCCAATCCTCAACTACTGGGCCAAGCCTCTGCCAGCTGCGATTGCACGTCGGCGAAGACCTGTTGAGTTTATGCTAGCAAACGACCGGACACCGATATGAGCAAGCAAGATCTCTCATCTTGTAGTCCCGAAGGATTTATCATGAGCGTGTTGGTATGTCGCCTTTGGCATGAACGCTTGATGCTCGACGTCAGAAGATGAGCGCGGAGCCCTCATGCAGTACGTATATCAGAAGGCAAGCCAAGACTGCACAGGTGGGGCAAATGCAGGACTGAGGAAGCTTGAAGCCAGACTTGCTCATGTCGTCAAGCTCTTCGTCTTTGAAGTTACTCCACCAATCCAAGCAAGCGACGTCTCGGTGGTAAGCATTTAACCCCCTACTCAAAACATATGACAAGAGCCTAAATCTGAAGAACCAATACTACACTTTCCTCATTCTCATTCTGATCCAGCGAAAAGACCCAGAGTTACAGCACATCGAGTCTGCATAGAAGCTTCCGTCTTTTCTACACTCCCCCTCAGAGAACGAAGCCAAAGCGGCTCAGGCCCAAGATCACGTTGTTCTGTTATGCTCGGATCAGAAAAACACGCCTTGACTGCTTACAGCGCCCCGAATAACTTGCAGGGCCTTATATTGGAGGCTGCTGCTTTGTTAGCGCCGTGGTGCAAGAGTGCATGTTGAAACACAGAAGTCTATGAGCGCCCTCCCCCGCCTCCTGGGGCGCTCTGCTGCCGTCCACTGTGCAGAGCTGTCCCTCGTCCTGACTTCGACGTGGGGATATGGATTCAGTCAAGGGGTCACTTAAAAACTATTGTTGCATCTCAGAGCGAGACTTGAAACCTGAATCCGAAAGGCACATCCAAGTCGTACAGAGGGTTAAGGCTGTCCTTTCCCATCTGACAACTAAGCCCACGAACCGGCTGCTTTTCCAGACCTAGACAGCTCGTACGGGTTGTAGGGATCTCTAAACAGCCGCAGTGAGGAAGATCCATGAACCCTGAAAGCAGCCGCTTCGAGTTCCGAATCTGTTTAGGGCAACTCACAGCCCTGAACCAAACTAACCCTAAACCCGTCTGTGACAGTCATGACCCTTAAGTTCTCGAGGTCCCACCTCGAAGAACTTCAGCAGCGGCTCGGTATCGGCCTGGAACCTGGTCGGGGCCACGAGAGACGTGGGGAAAGCTGGGTGTTAGACTCTTTTGAACGAGGTCTCTCTGAAGTGCCTCCAAGCTGCCCGCCACATCGATGACTCGACGGTGTTAGACTCTGACAACATAGCTTGTGGGGCCTATTAAGCGCCTTTGTCCTTGGCATGGTGCCCAAGCCCCCCAGGATCCTGCGGCAGAGAAGCCCTGAAAGCCAACCTTGAAATCCAGTCGCGCCTCTAAACACCAACCCACAAGATCAACAACTCCAGAATTTGAGCTAGGGAGCCCGGATAGGCGTTTCTCAATAACTTCCTCGTTGTCATCCACCCGAGTGCTGTTCTCCTTGGCTTGCGAGGCTCGAAGTTCATCCGACTTTTCGCAAGTCTGAACACACAACCAACGACATCAGTACCGCACGCCCTCCCTCTCCCCCTGCTCAGCCGTCTCAGCCGCCCAGAAACCCGCATAATTAAGTATCAATAGCAACTCAATAGTATTATGGGACCTGCGGCAGCTCTTCTTGCCTGTCGCCTAATTAGCTGGGACACTGCCTGCATTGCAAGGTTGGTATGGGACAATTCGAAACTAGTTCAAGGGTCCAGCACCGTCGTTTGCTCCAGCTTGTCCTCGAACAAGGTGCGAAAGGCATGGCGGCAGGTCCCATACTTTCGCATGTTAGCATTGTTGAACATGGCGTTCCCGTTATGATGATGTGTGCAGCAAAAAAGCGAAAACAGCTCGATGTTTCTGCGCGTTACTGTTGTGATGTGCGCAGCAATGCTTCTGCACGGAAACATTTGTTGATAACTAGTGGGGCATGGATGCACTGGCCAACGGATGGGTTGGTAGCATGGACGCTATCACGGCTTAGGTATGGATGCACGGGCCAATGGATGGGTTGGTTACACGAATGTTATCATGGTTTGGACATGGATGCACTGGCCAACGGATGGGTTGACGGCATGGACGTTATCATGGTTTGGGCATGGTTGCACTGTCCAATCGATGGGTTGGTAGCATGGACGCTATCACGGCTTAGGTATGGATGCACGGGCCAATGGATGGGTAGGTTACATGGACGTCGTCATGGTTTGGACATGGATGCACTGGCCAATGGATGGGTTGACAGCCTGGACGTGATCATGTTTTGGGCATGGATGCACTGGCCAATGGATGGGTTGACGGCATGGACGTTATCATGGTTTGGGCATGGTTGCACTGTCCAATGGATGGGTTGGTAGCATGGACGCTATCACGGCTTAGGTATGGATGCACAGGCCAAAGGATGGGTTGGTTACATGGATGTTATCATGGTTTGGACATGGATGCACTGGCCAATGGATGGGTTGACAGCATGGACGTGATCATGGTTTGGGCACGGATGCACTGGCCAATGGATGGGTTGACGGCATGGACGTTTGCATGGTTTGAGCATGGATGCACTGGCCAATGGATGGGTTGACAGCATGGCGTGATCATGGTTTGGGCATGGATGCACTGGCCAATGGATGGGTTGACGGCATGGACGTTATCATAGTTTGGGCATGGTTGCACTGTCCAATGGATGGGTTGGTAGCATGGACGCTATCACGGCTTTGGTACGGCTGCACGGGCCAATGGATGGGTTGGTTACATGGACGTTATCATGGTTTGGACATGGATGCACTGGCCAATGGATGGGTTGACAGCAATGGACGTGATCAGGGTTTGGGCATGGATGCACTGGCCGATGGATGGGTTGACGGCAGGGCCAATGGATGGGTTGGTTACATGGACGTTATCATGGTTTGGACATGGATGCACTGGCCAATGGATGGGTTGACAGCATGGCGTGATCATGGTTTGGGCACGGATGCACTGGCCAATGGATGGGTTGACGGCATGGACGTTATCATGGTTTGGGCATGGTTGCACTGTCCAAGGGATGGGTTGGTAGCATGGACGCTATCACGGCTTAGGTATGGATGCACGGGCCAATGGATGGGCTTTGAAATGCTGCCTTCCCAACAATTAAATGAAGGTTCCTTATATATCACACAGGCAGAAATGAGCACCAGGATTTGAAGGCCCAGTGGATTAAATATCTACAGCAACCTTCAGCACAAGAAAAAGCACCATCATGAGCACACAAATTAGCACCAGAAAAAACACGGTCATGCGCACAAAATTTAGCACCAGAAAGGCACAATCACGAGCACACAAATTACCAGATAAGCTCCTGAGGCGAAGTATTGGGTTTTGATTTGTAAATACTTAAAAAAAGCAACAAGCATAAGCACCAAGTGCAGCAGCAGAACAAAGCACAATCATGAGCAAACAAGTTCAGCACCCGAAAAGAGCAATCATGAGCACAACATTCAGCACCAGAAAAAGCACAATCATGAGCACCAAGTTTAGCACCAGAAAAGCACAATCATGAGCACAAAAATTAGCACCAGAAGAAGTGCAATCATGAGCACGAAGTTTAGCACCAGAAAAGCACATTTGGGTCGATTGCATGGACGTGATCATGGTTTGGGCATGGATGCCCTGGCCAATGGATGGGTTGGTGGCATGGGCGTGATCATGGTTTGGGCATGGATGGCCAATGGATGGATTGACAGCATGGACATGGCACGATGCCGGCCTGAGCGACAGAGAGGGGGGGGGCAGACGAGGGTGATGGATCCTAGTTCAAGCATCCATATTGACGTGACATGTCACTGTACACTCTCTGCTTGGCCACTATTCTTGGAATCCGGCCTGGGGTAGCTCAGGGTCGGGGGTTGGTTAAGCATGTAAGGTTATGGTTTCCGATATCGCTCCATGCGCTCCAAAAGGACAAAATTGTGTACAGTAGTGATCCCAGCTACGGGGAATATTGGGCTCAATATGTTCCAGTCGGTATTGAAGGAGTTCTGTTTCCTGCCGTGGTAAGGACCTATTCTGTTTCCGAGAATGCCTGGGAAAACTGTGCTCATCGTGTTTTCGGACTTCGATCATTGATGAGGTTCAGTTGGTGAAAGCCATTTGTGAGAGCCCTGGAAACACAGATCTTAACGAGCGAATGCAGCCGAGTGTCTGCGCGGCTGAGCAACCGGCGTCGCATCTCTTCTTTTTCCACCTCACAGCTTGCGGTGGACCATCTGACCCGGAAGTGTGCTATGGTATGAAAACCTCTTTGTTGCTTTAACATTCGAGATTTCTGGCCCCTAACTACATCCCATCGCAATGTGGGGTCTTGTTAAGCTGAACAAGAACGTGAATGATGCTATTCTTTTTCCTGGTTCGGCCTTGTTGGCTCCAACCTACAGGACTTTGCTGTGAAAAAAAGATAACGAATGTAGAGTTGGGACGCGGCGGCTGTCTAGGCCTGGAACCTGGCGCTCTGCTCAAGCCGGTCAAATCTACTCCAGGCGGCCTCGAGGTAGAGGCAGCAGAGCAGCTTGACTTTGCCTTGGTTTCAACAATATACTAGTTCTTCACAATTCACAATTGCAAGCAATGTTCGTGCCGCGATTTCATGCCATAGCTGATTACCTGGAAGTCGAATCCAATCTGCCTGCATCTTCGGTTGGCAGGCGGGCACATAGACCTATGCCGCGAGCAGAACTGCGCAAGCTTCGTCACCAGTCACTAGGCTGGAATACCGGCCTTCTGAGCAGCAGATTAAAGGTACGTTGTGTCTGATGGAGCAGCGCCAGCCGCAATCCCGAAAGGGGGCCCAAAGTCTACAGAACCACTAAAACAAAATCCCAGGTAACGGCGAGCCCCGCAATCCCTGAAACGGAACGGCCCAGTTGCTGCTCAACGTCGTCTGCCAGCCCCTGGCTGTTGAGTTCCATATTTCTTGTTAAGGCTTTCCGACCTGCCTGTGGCAATAGCCTCTCACGATAACAGGGACCGTGCGGTAGAACTGCAGGGTGTTGGGTTTCGGCTCTCACACTCGGACAATGCAGGCGAGGCTTGTGGTCTCAAGTCGGCTGTGGTAAAACTAGCTGAAAAAGAAGGCTTGGACCGCAGAGCTGACACCCCCAAATTCTGGATCGCCCCACGTGATGACTGATCTATCTGCCAGGATTGCTGCGAATGCCAGGCTTGTAGACTGAATCTGCCGGACATCCCTCAACTGATCTTGGACCTCAGAGCTGTCACCGCCACCTTCTGGATCGGTAATAAGTTTCAAGCAGCCAAGCCTGAAAGCTTTCTGTGCCAAAATCTGCAGGTCCCTTACTTTGGAGGCCGCAGAGATTGTTAGATTGTTAAGGTCTCACATAGACCGCCGGCCAAAGCTGCTTCTATTCGGAACATTTCGCGGAAGGTTCAAGGATTCAAAACCCTTGAACACACTTCCCGGCCAGCATGACGTGACTTGTCAACAAACAACTTAAGTTTGACGTATTTCTGGGAAATATTTGATGGTTGTTAATGAATTAACTACGTTGGAAATCATTTGACGTGGCAAGAATTGCCACAAATGGACCATCTTGGTGTATTTTTAGTCTTGATCCAACCTTTTGATACTTATCTGATTTACTGTACATGTAACTACATATAGTTGGCTCCATGTTGTTGTTTGATCATGGCCAACTACAAACAACCCGGGCATTCCCAGCATTTCCAGCTTCTCGCAGCCAACTTGATCCAAATGGAGGGTTGACAGTGTGTGTGTGTGTGGCCCTCTTCAGGTTGCAGGTGGTCGTGCTGCCACGACGCCACAGCAAAGCTCGTTTCGCAGCGCCCAGATACAAGGCCAAGTGCTACCCTGCTCGGGGGTTATCAGAATGGTGTGCAAGGCTCCGAGCCTGTATGTTTAAAAAAATGCCAAACCCCGAGGCCCCGAGCGAGCCATTATAATCATCTTGCAGCTTCGAAGCCTAACACCTCAAACCGTTTTTGCACAGTTCCAACTCGAAGCAAGTTGGCAAAGTGGCCTCAGTTGTTCTTCCGATCGAGGATAACCTGAGATGACAATGAGACTCGCTATTCTGATTGCTCTTTTTTCCCAAAAACCCCTCTGGGGTTGGGTTCTCGTTCAGAACGGTAAGCCGCGAGAGCGCGATAACGAAGCAGACGCGTCCGGGAAGAGCAAACGAAGAGG